TCACCCTGACAGTTATACCCAAAGCACAACCCAGTAAATTCAGAAGGYTTCTGGCCACGGATACAAGTCTTGTGTTTAAAGCTCTGAATGCGGGATCAAGGTATAATTCTAACAATTGATTACAAAGTATAAGAAGGTTATAGTTGTGAAGGATGTTCATCATTAAAATTCATGCTGCTGTCTTYTGTTCTAATATTATTGAACCCATACTGGCTCCTCATTGCCCTTCAGAATAACTTCTCTTTATTTGCATGTTATAAGTGTCAAGCTTATGGCCTTATAATTTCCTTAATATTCTTCTCCTCAATATTCTTCTCTCTCTCTGCCTTGAAAAACATCCCAGGCAGGATTTCTTCAAGCTTTCCTCTGTAAACCTTCCAAACCTTAAAAAGAAGCAAATAATTTTGAAAAGAATGTCGTTTGCATGCAAATTATAGCTCTGTTCTCTTAACATGCAGGGATAAAACTCCTTCTGTAATTGGCATTTATTGATTATAATTTYAACATAAGCTTAGCTTGTTAAATGACTTTGCTGAATCTGTACAGGATAATGCATACATAGCTGGTGTCATTTTTAGTGTTTAGTGGCTTAGCATCCCTTGTAAATACATTTATGAAATATTCATTTGAACTTCAGCTCTGTTATTATCCTCTGTGATGTCAATTCCAATTTTCYTCCAAAATGTTTTCAACTTTCCTCCTAGCTGAGCTCTTGTTTTTCTGAGAAGTACAGGAATAAGCTGGGGGGTGAACAGGGAGAGACAGACAGGAAGAAAAGGATTCAAAAAGGAGGAAATATTTTCCCTTTTTTAATTTTCTTGCATCCACTGAGAATCAGGAAAACCACGACAGAAAAAAAAAGCCTACTACTAATCTAATATCCATGCATATAGCATGCCCCAGATGCTATAGGGATCTGCAGAAAAATCCACTTCTCTTTGCATTCCCTGTTCCTATTTTAACCACTACCAAGCTGAAAGGAAAATCATCTTCCATTTYTCTCCAGCCCATGTTCATATCAAACAAATAACAGAAATACACACAGTTCTTTCTTTAATAATATYATCATACACAGTTCTCTCTCTTCCTGCTTACCATACAGTGGAACAAAACTTGCTTGGGTACAAGAAGCCTTTTCTGCTGACAATGCAATCAATCCCTGTTGGGAAATATGTTTGTTCCAGTGAGGGAAACTCCAAGAATTTTCCAATTATAGATCTGTCCTTTCAAGGTTCACGGAGGAGCTAGAGTAGCACTCCAGAGATGATCATTTCCCTGCTCCAGTTTGAGTGCAATTTCATTCCTCCTTTACCTCACCCACAACAGAATTCAAACTTGCCCCTGCCTTCTCAGAAGAAGAAGAAATTCAGAAGTTTGCAGTTCACAATTCTAGATCTTAAGGAGACTKTTGCAACAGACACTTAACAAAACCAAGATTTTAAAATTCCCCACTCTGTCAAAATCTCAATCTCCTCACTGACATCATAACAACCTGACAGAACAAACCCAAAACAAATTCCAGATGTTGTGAAACATGATGCCATTGGCCTTCCAAGGTCATTATGACAATTATTATAACTATGAGAATTAATTTTGGATGGCTTAGGATCCCACAATGTGTTTCCTAAAGAAGTTTGACCTGATCTATCCCTTCTTTAAATTTAATCTGAACTTTCAGATCTCAACACAAAGACTTTGCATAAACTTGAATCTGTGTCGAAATCAGAACCTAAGAGCAACAAACTGACATTGTGGAATTTGATCCTTCAGCCCTTTAATTTGATTTTCTGTAGGGAAAAAAAAATCCTCATAGGAATACATCAAATTGATTCCAATCTGCTCCATCATGAGAGAGACTGGTCACAGACGTGTGTCTACTTTATTTTCAGCTCTGTCTTAATGGTCTATGGTTGGCAGCTTCTTATATGCCTCTGCCACACAAGAAAATATAAGAAACCACTTGTTGAGTCACATCTGACCAGTTTTGAAGGCATTTARCTTGACTGCCTCTAACGAGGAAACAAAATTCTGGCAATATTTAYAGAAGGTTTAACTCATGAGATCTAATTAAAATAGTGTGACATGTGTGTTCTTCTTGAATTGGTGCCCTATGAATTGGCTGTTCTTTTTCCTTTCTGCCAAAACAATGTCATAACAATGGAARCTGCTAATGAGGATGAAAAATTGCTGAAATTCAACTAATTGCTTTTTACTCGCTTAAAAAATAATAGGACACTGATTCTTTTATTAACAGAATCTCTTCAAATTGTTGGGCCTTTATAAATGCAATAGCACTCAAGATTAAAATGTTTTTCTGATTTCTTCTTCAATGGGATAAGTAGCTCATTACTGATTTTCTATGGCCATGAAATCATGTTTTCATTTGGTTGCCAGAGGTGCAAAGTGTGAAGTTCACCAAATTCTCCCATTTATTTATTTATTGTGATAGCATCACCTTTGGGAGTACATATTTAACATATTCTTTCATCTCAGCTTGAGGTCAGCTCTTTCAACAGCTGTTATTTATTTTAATTGGAACAAAAGAAAATCAATTTTGGCACAAAYCTTGCTCAGCCATCAATGCCCAGAATTTATCCTGCCTATCAAAATTAGGCTTTGTACTGATCCATTTCCAACTGAGCCAAGGTGATTACTTTGTCACAGTCTTCTGTTTCTCCATCATTGGGAAAAAAAGGAAAAACTAGAAATTTTAAACATAAGAGAGCAAAGAGACATAAGAAGCCTATGACAAAATATCTGTTAATTTTCAGGATTTMGAAACATTCACTTCCTAATTATAAKATTGATTCTAAGTGTATTTCTAAAGARCTTTATCTTTCATTTGTAGCACTTTGTGAGCAAAACTGTCCATTTGGGAGCAGATGCATCAGACCAAACGTCTGTGCTTGCAGAAGTGGCTACACTGGTTCAGCATGTGAGAAAAAGGTAAGGCCCAAACCCACTGATTCTTACAGTAATGACAAAAATAACCAGATTTAACTCAAATTGTTTACAGGGAAAAGGAATAAATTCTTCTTAACCTTACGGAAGACTCAAATAAAGTTACAGAATATTTTAAAGGAAGTTTAGTGACAGCTTAGCTGCTACCTAGCCCTGTATCAAGTTCTAGATAATTTTTCTTCCTTTTTTCTCCCTTACCCTCAATAAGACATGTCAGAATGGGTTKCAGGGCTATTGCTCATCTGGCACCTGGGCTCGACCTGACCATCACACCAGTGCAGGTCTCTAAGTCCAGTTCATCCCCTGCATCACCATAAGACAAAGCAATTTTTTTTCTTGAACCACAGTCTCTGCCCATACCACAAACACTGTTCCAGTCAGGTCCTGCCTGTCCCAAGGTCCAGCTCTCAAAACAGGCAGGTTGCCCTGTCATTTACCTGTACTGAAAGACTAGGGGCAAAAATCAATGTATTTTCATTTCAATTATGTAACATATCAAGAGAAAGCATGAAGCCCTATTCAGATAGCCACTTAATTTTGTTGATGATAATTAGATTTTAACATCACAATTAAAGTTCTGTATGGATTTTTTTAGCAAGTACATTCTCATACTATGGCTCCTACATCAATGCTGAAATCAGCTGATGTGGATAAGATGAGTAAGTGATGTAATTTTCCAAATATTAAAAAATCTATTAAAAACATAGCCTGGGAGAGTGAGGTGCACATTTTCTCAAATAATTGACAGAAGTCTAAATGAAAGGGGGGATATGACAAGATAAACTGGAATTATTTTGTGCAGGTGCTTCCATTCAGGAGACTTCCCTTGGTAGATCGAGAGTTGCCCTTTTGGACCCATCAGACCAAGATAACCAGATTGCTTTAATTAAAATAATTTCAATTTTTCTAGTCRTGAATGGCCAAAGTATGATATTTGCCATTTCACAAATGGAGTGGAAGTCAATTGCACTTGGCAGAAAATATTAAATAAAAAATAAAAGACCAAGCTTCCTTTTCCACATGAATAAACTATTACACCTTAAATCAGTCCTGACAGAAAAAGAAAGTGGAAAAAGGCCTTGCAAATTATGTATGTCCACAATGCCAAGCCACCAATGACACGTTGAGACACAAGTGTCTCTCTTTCAATGATTCATCTCACAGTTTTTAAGACTGTTTGAAGCACTCTTCAGTTTCAGGGCTTCCTCTGCAGTAATACTGATTGGCCACACTGATATGGACGTGCATTGCTTTGAAGTGAAGAAGGAAATGTAATGAATAAAAGGGATTTAACAGGTTTCCTTCAATCCGTGAGCCTTGCTGGAAGCGAAATTCAGTTAGTAATTAAAATTATAGATTTCATGGTGTCTAATATAAATTACATGGCTTATGTTATATGAAAGCAAATGAGCTACTTCTMAAAAAAAAAMAAATTAAAATTTTGGGAGATATTTAAATGAAAAGCTAACTTGCTRGAGTGGGTTATAGTAAACTGTACACCAAGCTGCATTTCTGTAAAAAATGTGAGATGATAGGCCTCCCAAGAGTTTATTTACCAGACTGGATTGCGTGTAAGTCTTAAAAGTTTTAATCAACTTACTCTCTCAGCCTGTCAGTCATGGAAATCTCACAGTTTATCAAAGTAATTTTTCAAGTATTTAATTGCATTATTAAAGCAGAGTTTTGATTTTCCTAACACATAAAGTCTGCTGTGAGTAAAACTGACACTTCTTGAAGCAATCTTGGTGGGCACAGACAGAACTCAGCTCAGCTCTCTCAGTGACAACATTTACAAGTCTGAAGAAGACTGGAKTCTCTGCTGCCTGATTTTATCCCATTTTCCTACCCCAAACCAGCCAAGTTTCAAACCCTGCTCTCTGTCTAAACTCCAATTTCCCCATATCCCCCAAATCCTTCCTGGCTGAGCTCCAGTCCCCAGCACCTCCCTCCCCAAGTGTTTCTATCTCTGATTAATACATTTAAAGAAAGTGCTTTACATTTTTCTGCCACAGTCCTGCACATCTTTCCCACAGTCCTGACACCTTATCACTCATTTCCCATTTGGCATTGGTGCAGTCGATTTTTCCCCTGAAAGCACCATCTTTATTGTCTTTGCTTAATTTTGTCTTATGGATTTCAAGCTGCTTCACCCATTTATCTAAAAGATTTTTAATTCTAAGCCYGCTTGCACTGCCTCCAAGTGTGACATTGCTCAAAAATGTGACATCTCATTGCCTGAGACATTAATAAAAGTGGGGAATAGTACAAAAATCAGGACCTACAGACTATTGATAAAATTATTCCTTGAAAATGCTTTCTCAAACAGGTCTTGCTTCCTACTGATTTATTATGAATCATCCTTACTGGCATGACTGTCTGAGTCATATCAGAAGTCTCCCTAAAGTGAAAAACATCTGTTCTTTGTGGACAGAGTGACTGCTTCCCTCACTGAGCTTGAGGAGATTATAAATTGATTATTTAATAATTTATGTTAGCATCTCCCCAGATACCAACTTAGTCTGAATCTTTGGCTGTCATTCCCTTGCTTTTCCTTTTTTTTTTTTTTCTCATTTAAAGACATGTACTGTGCTTATTGGGACTATTTATATCCTTTGGGAGTTCTCAAAGCAAATCACTGCTGGTTTAGAAATCGCATCTTTAAATGTGCTGGGGTAACTCTGAGCATCTCTTGACCTGGAAAAGCTGCTTCATGTAAAGACCCTCTTATTTGCTAAAATGTTCCATATGGGGAGTTAATACACAGCAGATAGCGTGCCATAAATGCAAATCCCAGTTTATTGCCCAGCCATTTAACCTTGTAAACAGACCTTAAATCTGACTTTTCTGAATCTAAATACTCACTTCCTTCCCTATTCYCCCTTGCATTCATGCTCCCTTGCCAATTCTGATCATGTCAAACCTTTTGTCACATTTAACCTTTCTGTGAAGAGTGAAGAAGAGGCACTGAGCACATCAGCCTTGCCCATGTCATCCTCTCCTCCCTGCTAGATTTACCACCACGTTTTGCTATGGGAGCTAAAACCCATGCTTTGCTCTGCTTCTGTTATGAATCTTCAAATAATGGCAACAATACAGTAGCAGTGACACATAAAATTTGTCCAAAAACCTGGATTAAATTGGAGAGGAGCAGCCTCTTCCCTCCCTTCAACAGCAGCTGACAAGGGATGCTCCAGGTGACTGCACCTGAATTTTCCTGGGGAAGGAATGCAAGATAATTTCTTCTTATCCAGCTTAGAAGACTGATTTCCTCCTTTAAACTTAATTTTTGCTCTTCAACTTATTCCATAAAATTAGACTAAAACATTATCTTTTAGCCCTTTTTTTTTTTTTTTTTGAAAACACCAAGGAAATAGAATCATAGACTCACAGAATGGTTTGGATTGGAAGGGACCTTAAAGATCATCTAGTTCCATCCTCCTTGACTTTATGGGGGTTTTTTGCACCAAGCATCTGCAGAGTAGTAATTATTTAGTGTGGAAATACTGAAAAAGTCACAAATCCAGTCAAATTGCCTGGTGTGAATAGATGCAGAGAGCTGGGGAAAAAAGAAGAAAAAAAGGCCTCACTGAGCAACTCTTTTTTTTTCCCCACAAACTAAATAGTGCCTGGAGTCTGGTTTTGCCAGTGTATTTGGAGAAGCTGGATGGCCCATATTTGTTTAATCAAGTTATTCCYCTTTCTCTGCTGTAATCTTTAGCATTGTTCCCATTTGTGCAGTTAAGCTTCCTGGAGGAATAATATACATTTCCCTAAATTATTCATCATCTACATCCTATTTCTCACATTTATAACGCCAATTGATTTGCAATTCATTCTCTRACATTTTTGGTTTACTTTGTTTTGGACTTCTGCTAAACAAAGCCTGCCAACAGCATTCCTCAGAAGGCTAATGAACTTGCTAGAATAGCAATCACTCTCTTAGAAACCTTGTGCGTATTTTTAATTTGTATTGACTCGGAGAGATCCAGATAATTTAGCAAGTTCCATGGCAGACATGAAGACAAATGCTCGTGCTGACTTTTACATTCAAACCAGCCATTAGAGCACATTTGTTCAGGGCTGCAAGGGGTGACCCAAATAAAACAGGCTAAACAAAACTCGTTTCCAATGGAAGCACAGTTAAAAACTTTGGCATTAGTCCCAACAGAGACTGAGACAATCCCTGCATCATTTGTGCAGCAGGGAATTTTGTGGAAAGTTGAAATTGATRTTGTATCTGTTGTCTTAACTGATACCATCACRTTTTCCTTGTKGTTTTTGTTTTTTAAATGGATTAAAGTAATAGCATTAATTAAGSCAACAGAATTAATTCAAGCTAAACAATGTTATCTGGTTAGATATAAATGGTACATAATATTACACTACAAGCTATCGTGATGGTGTATTTTTCCAAGAGTTTAAATATTAATGCTCTAAACTTGTCCATCTATTGAATATTTATTCTAAAACATAAAGGTGTTGAGAAGTGTAGCCTGTTGCAAAAAGAAAAAAATTAAGAACAGGTAAATCTTATAGGAGATATYTTAAACTCTGGAATTTACCTGTGAATGGAACAGCAACTGGCCATCCATTCCCTAGGAATGAACCCAGTGACTAAATCCCAAAGATTAAACACACTATTGATTTCTGTACAGCCTGAAAATACACAGTGCCTTTAATAAACAATTCCTCATATTAGGCAATGCTTTGCTGCAGCTACTGACCTTCACATCACTGTTACTTAGTTCATTTATACATTAGGAGACATTAAACTACAAATCAAGGCTGCTCAGGTTATCCAAGCTGCATTCAGYATCAGTCAATGTACAAGTCAGTCATGTGTGGAGTTTTCTGAAAATACAGCTTGTCTCTCTGTAAATTATTTGACAAGTAAATTGAATTAATATGAGATTAGAAAAGGAAAATAAAAAACAAACAGTATCAAGCTGTAAGTGTCTGTTGGTCAGAMAATTTGTGCCTGTATATGCATATATTCATATATATATGTATATATAAACTGAAATATAAAATATGCACAT